TTTATAATTTGTACAATTAACCTCCCTGTGGTTCGACCCCGGTCTTGCCGAGTTATTTATTACTTCGACACTCCTGCACTTGGGAGAAGACATCAATCTTTTCGTCGTGTCACACACTCTCTTAATCAATACAAATAATGTACTAGATTTAAAATGCGTGTTTAATAATGTACCATAGAGTGATTTTTTAAAATATTTTTTAATTTAAAATTATATTTCTTATATTTAACATCAGCCATTAAAATTATAAAAATATATTTAAAAAACATACAAAAACTTAAAAAATGTTTTTAAAATATATTAAATCACATTATCAAACATACATAAAGTATAATGGATGCACTCCTAGCAAAAACATTTACAACACCTCGAAGGAAGGCTACTGAACATTCGGCGTGCATTACAGGCCTTAAATCTTGTTCGTAAATTTAAATCTCACTCACCCAGCTAGTTCAAAACTTAAACCTTGTTTGTTCACGGAAAGTTCTAAACTTTTTTTATATTGGTTTATTATTAAAAAAATTAATTAATTAAAATTTTTTATAAATTAAAAAGTAATTTCACTTGATTTTCATAAAAATATTTTTTTAATATACTTTTAAGAAATTTTAAAAAAATAAAAAAAATCAGTTATTTATTGATTATATCAAATTTGATCCTTAATTTTTTGGTTTCTATATATTTTATTTTGATTTTTTTTAGTTTCATCCCTTTGATTTAATTTAATTTTTATATCAATTTTTATCCTTATTTTTTTCTCTTATTATTTTTTAATTGAATTTTTTTTATTTATCAAATTTAGTCCCTTTTTTATTGCTATTTATTTTATTTGAAATAATTTATAAAATTAATTTTTTAAAATTTCATTATCTTTGATCTTTATTATGTCATATTTAGCCTTCATTCTTTTAATTATTATTTATTTTATTTAAAATAATTTATAAAATTAGAAAACAATTTCCATTACGTCCTCCTTCAACTTTTTCATTTGTCAGATTTAATGAACTTGAAAAAAATTGAAACATGAATGGGTTATGTTCCCGGTATATTTAATTTTAGTGTGTATCTATTGTAGTCAATCAATTGGTTACCTTGAAATTGACTTTGTTCATGTAACAATATTTAATTTTAATAAAATTTTTATTAATATTTAATATTTATCAAATATTTAATTAATAAATTTAATATTTGATTAATAAATCTAGAGTAAAAATAAAGTCATTGGAACAAAAATATTTTGCAAAGAAAATTATAAAATAATTATGAGATTCTTATTGTATTAAAGCATTGTTTCTAGTTAATACTTTATTAAAACTAGACATTAATTAGAGTTGTTGAGATTGATACATATTATAATTTTTTCTCTATAAAAGAAAGTAATTGTTCATGTAAATTGAGGTATGAGAAATACCTAAAATTAATATGTATTTTTTTATCTAATAACATGTACACTGAACCAATTCTCATGAGAATCTCATATTGAGAAATCATTTGTGCATGTAGAAATGCTCATGTGATAATCATACAAGTGATTTATAGAAATGCTCATGAGAATCAAGGGTAACAAATGGGCAAATATTAAGTATAATATAAATTATATGAATGTATTTCAATAATTAAGAGAGGATTCATTATCCTAGATAAATTTACAAAATATTTTATTTGTTTTTAAATAGTATTAATTATAATTTTTTGTGCAAAATAGAATGAAATTTAAAAATAATTTTAAATATTATTGAAATAATCAATGAATATGATGTTAAGAACAAACATGATTTGACAAAATATACACATTCCATGCTATAATATCTAAATAAAAATATTATTAATGAAAGAATAATAATTATATTAAGAAACTGAACATCGAAAGGTTAAATTAAATCAATTATAATTTTTTTAATATTTAAGGGATTATGATAAGTTGGTAGATATTGTACTAATCTTCAAATATAAATCAATCAATTGTTGAATTGATAATAAATTATTTTTTAAATTTATTTAATCATATTGTATTTAGGATTATGATTTATATTATAGTAAACTTGTTAGAGACCATAAAGGACCACACACATAAGAATCATTGATCATAAATTAAAATGAGATGATTAATTAAGTGCAACCTGATTGTAAATAAATTTTAAAAATTAAGGACAAAGTATAATTTATATAGGGAATCACAATTCTAAATTAAGAAAAATCAAATTTGAACTTTTTTGAATAAATTTTTAAAATTATCCTGGAGTAATAAATGTGATATTATTCAGGAAAAAAATGATATTTTATTATTTATTGGATTTTCAGGTTTTTTAGTAATAAAATGTTATAATTCTTGTTTTCCGTACAACATACAATAATATAGAAACTATATAAATTACAAAAAAACTGAAAAACATGGAAAAAAAGAAGAAGTTAGCACTTAAAATAATAATAATCTTCCTTTTAAAAAAGTTTAAAAGATTTTTCATTAATGATTTGTATAAATTATCTTTAAAAATTAAACTTAAATGACTTTTGAATTGTGATTGTACTTAAAAACTGAACTTCAATGAATGGTAAATTGTTATAAATCAATTTTAAAATAATTATTCAAATCTAAAATGAATTTATTATATTCAAGTAATATTTGTATAACTTTAATTTTAAATTTATTCCATAAAATTCTTAAGACCTAAAAAAAAAAACACTTTTAAATTTATTATTTTTATTGAGAATATGTATTTCAGAAAACCAACAAATTAAAATATAAAAAACATTTTTAACTTATTTTTCACTACAATAATAAATATAAAAAAATAATCTATTTTTTTTAAATAACTTCCAAAAGTTAAATTGGCTTACGATAAGGCAAATCCGCCTCATCAATCACCGTCATCGTTAACTCTCCCCAAATTCAGTCCCTCTCACTTATGTTTCCAAGAAATTACACCAAAACTCTCCTAACACCGGCAACATGTAATACCAATTCCTTCTCACCCCTCGTCTCTATCTTTATCCCCTACACTCACCGGCTATAACCGTTGAAACTTAGCCATTAAAGAAAATAAATTTATTATCGTATCTAATGTAGTACTACTATCGTTGCTGTGTTTTCCGGTCTTCGCTGTTAGCTATGAAAGCTCTAAACAATCTAGGAACAGTGCTTACAGTTGTCTTCTCGGTCTGTCTTCTTGCTCTGGTCTTCGAGATCCTTTACGTTCTCTGGCGCCGAAGAAGATTCCTCCGACGGAGTGTTACAAGTTCTGTTGCTGACGGGGAATTCAGCAGTAATAGCGATTCACTCTACACGAAGCCGTCTAAAGAGCTTCTCTACTTCTTCTGCTGGAAAAACCAAACTACTCGCATCGAACCTGACTCTACAACACCACAAGAAGCCTCCGCGGTGGCTCCGCCAGTTCCAGCAGATGGTGCAGATGCGTTGGTGGAGGAGATGTTGAAGTTGCAAGGGATGTACGGACCATCGAGAGTTTTGTTTACTATTAAGGAAGAGGAGATGGAGGTAACTGAGAACGACGACTCGTCGATAGAGAACGAGCTTGTTAAAAGCAAGAAGAGGAAAAAGAGTAGTAGTGATTTTTGTTTTGAAGGAGCAGTTGCTAATGATGTGGTTGTTGAGGTTGAGGTTGATGATGTAGCGACGCCGTTTTGGACACCGTGTGCATCTCCTCAGTATTATTATACTCCTTCACCCTCTCCTCCTCGCGATGGAAATCAATCACGCAAGAATTCAGGGATGAAGTCAGTGTCGTCGTCTTAGGTGATTCTGGTGAGAATACGACGATGTCGTTTGTTAGCATAGAAATTCATACTTCATAGTTAGGAGAAAGGAAGCGGTGAAAATGTGACCGGCTGGTTAGCGGGTCGCCGGAGTAATTATTATAAAATGGTATTTGTATGTACGTTGTTTTGGAAAAACAGTAGCCCTCTTTTATTTATGTATTTTATTTTGACTCAACAAATGCTTCTGATCTTGCCACGTTAGCATCAAGCTACTAAAGCAGCAAAACGATATGACGTGGCAAGATCACAGGGGAGGCTGGACATAACTTGGATGTTACTGCACTTTCTTCCATTGATGACGAGGCAGGGAAGACAAGCAGAGACGATAGTTGGTGACTTGGTTCCACCTAGATGCTTGCCGCTTTGGTCAAATATTTTTTGGAAAAATTTAAAATATTTTTAAAAAACATTAAAAAAATGTGAAAAAGCTTTCATAACATGTTTTTTTTTTCATAAAATCCAACTAAAAAATATTTATAAAGCAATTTGAAAACAATTACAAAATCTAACTCTCAACAAAACTATACATAAATTAAAAAATAAATAATTTAAAAACAAAAAAAAATCACGAGTCTACCCGAATTAACTTGATAAATTCATGATCACTATAAGACTAGAATAACTTAATAGAAATCAAATAAAAAGATATTACAAAACTCAATTCTTAATTTACTAAACTTGTAATTTATGTCATGAGAATAAAATCATCCTATAGAATGCCAATTGAAAAAGAAAATTATAAAATTTAACTCTCAATCAATTCATATTATTGAAGGACAAAATAAAAAAAAAAACAATTAAAAAAAACTAAAAAACCCATAACCTAAATCATGAGATTAAAATAACTTAATAGAAATCAAATCTAAAAAAAATCACAAATCTCAATTTCCAACCAATAACATATTAAAAGCTAAAATTTTAAAGACATTAAAAAAAATGATAAAAAATAGCCTGAGTTAACCTAGATAACTCTTCAAACCTGTGACTTTAATCATGAAACTAGGATCACCCTCATAGAAAGTAAATTAAAAAAACTTTTAAAGACTAATCCCTAATTAACTTAATGTTAAAAATTAAAATTAAAAAAAAACACAAAAATTGCATATCATAATCAAAAAAATAAAAATAAAAATTAATATAAGAGCCAGATTGACTAAGCAATGCATGGAACACGAGACTAAGAGAGAGAAAAAAAAATAAAGAATAGGGGATGCTAATGAAACACCACAGCTTATCTTTCACCGTGTACCATTTTATCATATAACTCTTACCAAGATGACTTAAGATATATGACAAAATAACTTTTTTAGAGGTCAAAGAGGCCTCATGCTCCTCCATAGAGTGACAACACTCCTCACTTACTAGCATGTGTAACACACACACCAAGCATTCCACAACAGCTCGATCAATTTCATCATTACTGTTGTTTTGGTTTCCAATTTGATCTTCAAGCCTTAATTGTCTTAAATCAATAAAATTAAGATTTATTTTGTGACTGAACATCAATCACACCCTAAAATATTTTCTCGATATCGCAAAATTCCCATAATTAGACAATAAAAAAAATTATTAAATTTAATTTCAAATAAAAGTTATAAAACTCAATGTGAAAGGATTGAATTGATTTTTTTTTTTTGATAGACTAAAAAAGGGTTGAACTATCTCTTGGCATTTCAATTCTTAATTCTAGCAAGAAAAATAGGTTGAATATATATTAATTGTTTAAATTTGATTTTTATAACTTTAATTATTTTAAATTAATATAATTTTATTTAATTTCACCAAACTGAACAACAAGTAATTTTTTTAATATTATAAAATCCCTTAACATAAATAACCAAAATAAACTATCAAGTCTAATTCTAAATAAATATATCATTAAAGAAACAAACAAAAAAAATTTGAGGAATTAAAATAAAAAAGCTGGAGAATAATAATAAATTTTAAAAAAGAAAACAATATGAAACACTATTAAAATCTGTGATTTTTTTTCAAAAATGTTACAATCTTTATTTTTTATTTTTTTTAAATGTAATTTTAATGTGATTTAATTTTGGTCGTACTAGGGGGTGGGTGCCAAGCAAAAGATTGGAGGTAAATTTTCAGGGTCGTACTAGGGGGTGTGCTAGTAGGGGTATACGAAAAGAAAGGAGGGAGAGTGCAATTAATTGTCACATGGTGCCTCTGGAAGTAGTCTGATTTTTGAATGACTAATTCAATTACAGTGGCTCTTTGTTATTCGCTGCATCGTTCATTCATTAAAGCCTGGAGAGTCACTAAAATTTCCATGGGCTTTGTGACGGCCCATTAAAAACAGCACCTACCCCTACTAGCTACATTTGTCTTTCCTAATTTACAAGGCTCGTTTGGCTATGTGACGTCCGTGCTTCTATAATGATTTTTTAAAATTAATTTTTTTTATATTTTGATGTGTCAAAATGAAAATTAAATTTTTTAAAAAATAAAAAATATTTTAAAAAATAATCATAACTACAATACTAAATATTATATTAATGCAGTAAAAATAAGGATTATGACAATAATTAACTAGTTTCCAAACTATAGACTGTTTTTTTGAACATTGCTCCTGAATCCTTCTTAATTGACTTTAAATGCTAATTGCAAAACTCGTAGATGATCTTATATATATTTTTTAAATGAATTTGGCTAACGGTTACCCTTAAAACACTTATTAATGTTTTTAAATCATTAATGTATTTGTTTGTTTATAATTTAATGGAAAAAATTAAACACATTATTATATAAAATAACAATTATTTAATGTATTTACTTAGTATCATTGATTTTTATTTGAATATTTTATTTTCATTTCTTTTTGCAACACAATTCAAGTCTAATAAATAAATGTATTTAAAAAATGCCTAACCGATGTTACAAGGACACTTATTAACTTTTTCCTTTTTTAATATTATATTTAGTAGCTTAAAAGAAATCCTGCGAAATTTTATGATACTCAAATTCTATAATTACTCAAATTCTATAAATTATCGTTAGGTTTTGCTCAAACAGGTGTAACAATATTAAATAATTAAAAACAATGCTATATCATTAAAAAAAAAAAATACACTTTCAATAAACTTTTTTTCTCTTTCAATTTCAGGAGAAGTTTTTTCTCTCAACCTCTTCTGAAAAAAAAAAAACAGATTATAGGTTTTCTAGTTGAATTAGGAGTTAAATATGCAAAGTTAGAGGTAGGGTTACAATTAAAAGTATTCATCTACTTTAATTATTTTTTAAGATTTTTGAATCTTTTAACTAAGCAAAAATTTTAAGATTATTTTAATCTTTTTTCTCTTTTTAAAAAGATTTGGAAAGAAAAAATCTTTTCAGCTAGC